TAGAATCGGTTCCCACAGCCGTCGTTGGTGCTTCGCTTACGGTCGATCCGGTAACAGAATCGGTTCCCACAGCCGTCGTTGGTGCTTCGCTTACGGTCGATCCGGTAACAGAATCGGTTCCAAGACCCGTAGGCGGTGGTTCGCTGGCAGTTGATGATGGAATAGAATCGGTTCCGACAGCCGTAGCTGTCGTTTCACTACTCGTCGGTGCAGTAATAGAATCGGTTCCCAAAGCCGTCGTTGGTGCTTCGCTAGCGGTCGATCCAGTAATAGAATCGGTTCCCACAGCCGTCGTTGGCGCTTCGCTGCCAGTTGAACTGGAGGTGGGGCGTTCCGCTGTGGAGGTGGATGATACCGTCGCTGTCGATGTTTGGGAGTTTTCGGTAGTGGACCCGTCGGTTGATGGCGTCGCGGTTTGTGTTCGCGAGCAATCACATCGAGTTCTTGGCTGTGTGCTTGATGTTGCACAAAATTCATCAAAATCGTCTGTCGTTTGGACAGTTGTTGAAGCAGGTGTCAGAAAAGCTGCTGGTGGATGGGGGCGGCTGCTGTGTTTAGGTGCAGGGGTCGCATGAGCCTTGGGTTTTTCAATGGTTCTCTTGTCCTCCAATTTTTTGGTGCCAGATTTGTTGTCGCATGTCGCCGACCCTGCTGTGCATGCCGAATCGTGACGACCTCTTAAAGCGCTTTCGGATCGCGAATTTTGTTTGGCTAAGGAATTTGTGACTCTTTCCGGAGACAACAGATATGCAAGCCAGTCATCCGGTCGGACATCACCAGTGCTTTCGCGTCTGGTCCTCAAATGAAGCCCATCTGACCTTGATTCCTGAGGGAGGTCAAAAACTTCTCGGTAAGCAGAAAATGGTGAACTCGCGGCTGAAGCCGTTGAGCAGATAGCAATAATCCAAAAATTTCTGAAACAGGTCATGCCGCCCAGTTAATTAGAAAAATGGGGTCCAAAATCCAGCTATATATTGCCGTGTACCGCTGGATACAAACACGCGCGCGCGCTACCACACACTTTTTGTTGCTATTTTATAAGTAGCTTTTTATGGTTCTTGAAGAAATGAGGCACCAGCTCGCTCAGCCAGCGTGCCTCGATTTCGGTGACGTTTCTCAGGTATTTCTTGGTTGTTAAAACGAGTTCCCCGTAAATAACACAAGGAGGTCTGTACAAAGGCTGAGCGGGTCTTTGGTTGGCATCTTGAGTAATGAACAAGGACGATGAGGGATGAATGTCCGCAACCCGGTTGGTTACGAGCGTTTTGTACTGCCCGTTTCTTGTGAGAACGGCGGCTTGCATAAAAAAAGCGGAAGCGATGGCCTTCTTGATGCGTACCAAGTCCTCGGAGGTGGTGTTGGGAATGGCAAGTCCTACTCTTGGCAGAAGGGCCACGAATTGATCATATATATCGCGAGCTCGATTTAGCGAGCGGAATTGGACGAAGTTATCGAAACACCATTGCTGATCGTAGTTAACTTGTTCCCACGACCTGTACACGTGCAATAGAGTGAGGTGATCGCCGTCCTTGCGCTGGAAAGAACGTCTGATGCTGGTGGCGTGAGCAGCTTTTTGCTTCGGACAATAAAACAGACTGTTCGCAACTTCGAGCATTGACGCGATGGTAAGGCATTCTTCTAAGCAATTCATTTCACCACCCGCTAGTATCATTTTAGCTATCTGCGGAGTGCCTGGCAGTTGCGACATCTTTCGACCAATGCTTGTCATTTGGCCTTTATCATTTAATGCGCCAAGATGGTAAAGAGTTTCCAACGACTGAATTAATGCCTGGGTGGGTGGAGGGTCCAGAAAGTCGAAGTTGAGTAAATCGTCTATGCCCAGTGATTTCATAATGAGTACAACTTGCGATATATCACAACGCAGCATTTCTGGAGCATTGCATTCCTCAAGCTCTTTCAGCCAGCTCGTTTTGGTGAACAGACGAAAGCACATACCAGGCTTCACTCGTCCGGCTCTGCCGGCTCGTTGGTTGCACGAAGCCCTGGAGCATGGCACCGTGACCAGAGAGGCCAGTCCGGATCTAGGATCGTAGCTGTTTTCTTTAACAAGGCCGGGGTCTACAACGTAGACAATGTTGTCTATGGTAATAGACGTCTCAGCGATATTTGTAGCCAGGACGCATTTCCGAACAGTAGGGGGTGTTTTTACAAAGATAAGAGCTTGCTGGTCAGCAGGCAAGGTGGAATAGATGGGAAGCACCCTCAGCTCCGGTTTTTTTGCCTCTCCTTGTTCATTCTTCAAACGCGTTTGGATCAGTTCCATGCACTCTTCAATCTCCTGTTGTCCGGGTAAGAACACGAGAACATCTCCGTCTAAAGGTCTCTGGGTGTGTATTTGAATCACAGTGGCAGCCGCAGCATCGATGAAGTTGGCTTCTGGTTGTTTGGTGTAAAAGATATCCACGTCATATTTGCGTCCGGGAATTTTGAATATAGGAGCGTCATCAAAGTATTTGCTAAATTTCTCCGCCTCCAGAGTGGCACTACTGATGATGAGTCGGAAATCGTCAGACCGGTACCGGGATAAGTCCTTTACCAAACCGAACAGCACGTCGGTATGCAGACTTCGTTCGTGGGCTTCGTCAATTATGAGCACACTATACTGACTCAATTCGGGATCCGTGAGGAACTGTTGTAGCAAAGCGCCGTCCGTCAAGTAACTGATTTTCGTACCGTCACTGGTCATATTCTCAAACCGGATAATGTAACCAACGTCTCGACCCAATTTAACTTCCATTTCGTCCGCCACTCGTGCCGCCACACTCATAGCCGCCACTCGTCGGGGCTGCGTGCAGCCGATCATCCCCATTCGACTGTAACCCACCTCGTGCAGATACTGTGGTATCTGGGTGGTCTTGCCACTGCCAGTTTCTCCAACAATTACGACCACCGGATTGTCGCGTATCGCCTTCAGCAATTGCGCCCGAAACTTATAGACAGGCAGCAGCCGTCTTTCAGCCTCCATCTTGCGTCGCCGGTCCGCTATGTCCTGCAACCGCACCGCCTCTCGCTCTTCCCGGGACATGTTCCACCACGCCTCGTCGTCATCCAAGCTGCCCCGCACAATCTCGCTTCGCTCAAACTCTACCAGATTGCCAGACTCATCAATTAAAGTGTCCGCGGTCCTTCCACGCTCCGCTCCACTACCGCGTTCCGTTTCCTTGTCCCCCTCTGCCCGCGGAAGCGCCTCGCGCAGCTTCTGCTGCTCCCACTCATCCAACCGGGTTGTAGCCGCTCCCATCCGATGGCTCTGGCTCTGGTCCACGAGGCGCTTCTTTAGCACCTTCAACTTACTCCGGGTGTCGTCCTCATACGCCTCCGGCAACTCGTAGACGTCGATCGCCGCCGTCGCCGCCCGTTCGTCCCTCAATTGCTCAGTCAGCCGGATCCGCTGCTTCTCTTCTTCGTTCCTTCGAGACACCTCGCGCGCCAAATCCGGAGGCAGAACCCCCACCTGCTCCCGGTCCTCCACGATGCGCTTCGCCAACTCCAACTGCGACAACTCGCGGTCACGTAAGTACTCCCTTCGTGCCTCTTCGCGCAATCGAGTTATATAAATCGGGTCGTCCTTGTACCGAGCGTCCCTACTCGTCGAAGCCAACACAGACGCGTCTATTGCTGATAACTGCGCCCCGTCCTTCTGACGTCCCAAAGGGTCACTTTCGCCCTCCTTCTGACGTCCCAAAGGGTCACTCTCGCCCTCCACTCCCCCCTCCACTCCACGGCCTCGAAACTCAGGTGGGTACATTCCAGGCGTCAAGCGCCGTCGCTTGACGGCTACTTGGTTCTTCCGCAGTTCGTGCATCCGAGCGCCCAAAGTCCACGCGGTCTCTTCAGACACGGGCAAGGCGTGACATATGCTAGCTACAAAGTTCTCGATACTGTCACCCGATTCTTCGGCAACCGCAGAAATCAAGTCCTCTATGGAGGTAGTTGAGAATCCGATGACATCATACAGAATATCTTTAACCGAGTCCATTATCTTTTGCCGGTGCATTCATTACACTATTAAAAAAATCTTGCCCTCACCGGAGCTAAAAACTCCCTGTATAAACTCCAACCTGCGAAACTTCGATTCGGTCAGTTTTCTGCAACCGAGGTGGGTTGTATAACCAAGCGTCTGCCGAGCAAATGGACATCAGTAAGTGCCTCCATGGCGGTCTTGGCGTCGCTGATGGTGGCGAACTCAACAAAACCGAAGCCTCGAATGCGTCCATCATTGCGCTTCGGAAGGCGGCAAGAGGTGACTGCGCCGTAAGCCGAAAACAGCTGCCGAAGATCTTTGACTGTGGTAGTGAAGTCCAGATTTTTAACAATAAGTCGCCGCGTGATCTCCAATTCTGTGTCCTCTATCACTCGCTTTTTCGAAGCTGCTTCCTGCTTGGCCTTCGCCATCTCCATAACTATCCTGCGTTGGTGTAACGTGAGGTTCAAGTTCTTCTTCATGGCTTCTTCGGCGTGTGCGCGCGAATCGAAGTGCACAAAGCCAGACCCGAGCGAGGTCTCCACATCCTTCGACGCACCCGTTACCAAATCTCGCACACGCTTTCGCGACCGCAGCAATCGACAACCCTTGAATCCAACACACGTTTCGAACGCCTTGCTGATTTCCTGTTCTGTCGCCTCAAACGGCAAATTCGTAATATAAATGGAACTCCTTGACTGAACAATTTTATCCCCTTCATCCGTTCCCTCTACAGCATCCGTCGCCTCTACAGCATCCGTCGCCTCTACGGCATCCGTCGCCTCTAGGGCAGCCACCCTCTCCTCTTCGCTCTTGGCCAAGTGATCGTCCACCACAGCCGGAGCATACTCGAGATACAGAGGGTGAGATTTATAGTTAGCAAGTGTTAACTCTTTCAGAGCCTTTTTCGCGTGGCTAGCAGCACAGTAGGCAACCACGGCGACGGTCTTGGTGGGTGAAATCGAGAAGTGCCGAATGGACCCGGATTTGCTCAGCAATGCCTTGAGGTCTTCCTCATCCACCCAGGGCCCCAAATGCTTCAGAAACAGAGTCCGGGTGGAAGGGGCCTTGGTGGCTCCAGCTATCTTGGCAGAAAGGAGAGAGTTACCTTGCCTGATAAAGACTTCTTCTGGTATTCCGAGCGACGATAACCACTGTTTAGTTTCACTCACCACAAAAGATTCAGACACGGCGACGCGGGCCGCCACCGAGTCGCTGGTATTGTTCAGCATGTCTTCTACCTCTATGCCCAGATGTTTAGCCATCAAATCCGTGGCCACGGAGGCCGAGACGTAGAGAAGATTCCAGTTTCGTTGGTCCAGATTCCTCTCCAGTTTTTTACCGAGGATGCGCTGCTTGGCCTTGGCCGACTGTTTGCTCAGCACCTTCTCAACAGGGTCCCCGTCTGTAGTGTCGTTCGCTGCCTTGATGTAGAGGCGACGGCCCTGGAACAAGCTATCGTCGAGCTCAGCCACGGCTTGTCCTGCATGGGCGGCAAAGGCGTAGGTCACAAAGCCCATGCCCTTGAGAAGTCGGACGTCGACAACCTTGCCGATAGCACTCATGAAGGTGGTGAGTTCGTCCTCCGTGGTCTCGTAAGGCAGATTCAAGATCCGGACTCTGCCTGAGTCGCTCGCTGCGGCGACCTCCTTAGCCAGCGCGGACTTGAGGGCCTCCGCATTTTCAGCCGACTTCTTCTTCTTGGTGATTTTGGACCAAGGTCGCTCGATCAACCCGCTCTTCTCCGTAAACGCAAAGTCCACGGCGACCTTGCTAGTTGCCATGTACGTTCCATTGCATGCCGCCCGACATGTAGTCGCCTCCTGCTCTGTTTTGAACCCGACGTATCCGATGCGCCGCGTCTTCCCAGCGTGCAACATCACTCTGCAGTCTGTGCATCGCAATGCTGCACCACATAACCTCTCTATATGCCCCACGATGTCCTTCTCGGACGCAAACTTGGGGATCCCTCGCCATATTAGTCGCGAGGAAGATGCCGTGCTAGACATTCCGCTGGCCCGCAGAAAAACTATTTTTTAATTCGCACGTCATCGAACCACGGATGGGCCAATGCTTCCGCTGCGGTACAACGCTGCTCCGGAATATAATGCAGCAACCTAAAGGGAAATATTGTACAGCGTATTATTAAATGGGAATGAACAAGTGGAACATGTGTGTGCGGGTAGGGTAAGGGCTCAGAATATGTGTTCGAACCACTGGTATATATGAACCACTGGTATATGTGGGTGCCTGTTCTAGTTCTAGTCTGTATGGGTGGTCGTGGGGTAATATGTCCGTATGGGGTGTGTGTGCGGGAAGTGGACGTACTTGTCTAGGAGGTCTTTGACGTCTGTGCCAATGTCATCGGGTCGGAGGAAATCGTATCGATCTTTTCTTCTGGTCCATTTTGGCCATTGTGATTTGTAATGTGGCAGGAACGAGACCCATTCGTGGTTGACGGGAGTGCCAAGAAGTTGGAACATTTTAAAGAGAGTCTCTGCCTCTGAGTCCCCCAATATGACAGGTCGGCCATAGAGCAGTTCTAAGAGAATGCATCCCATTGACCAGATATCAAGAGAGGTATTATATCGATCGAATCCAAGGACAACCTCCGGGGCTCGATACCATAGGGTTACCACCTCATGAGTGAGTGGTCGAATAGGTGCAGGGAACAATCGAGCCAGACCAAAGTCAGCCAGTTTGACGGAGATGGTATCCATCATTGTTCGTATGAGATAGTCCGGAACAGCTCCGCCGCAGTCTGGCGAAATACACGTATCAATCAGCTGTAGGACATCCGGAGGTCCACGGTTCGAAGCTAGGCAACGACTTGCGGCCTTGGTTGCAGGCAACTGACTACCACGCCAAATCGATTTGACAGAATCGACGACGGGATCTTGATGCGAAACGCTTACAGCCGTCGAGGTATCCGTCGACTGACGTCTAGACTCAAACTTCACCAATACATTGCTCGGCTTTATATCACGATGAATCTATACGGCATCAATATCAGGCGGGGAGGGTAATGGTAGTAATGGTAGTAGTAAGGGTAGTAGTAATGGTAGTAGTAAGGGTGGTAGTAAGGGTGGTAGTAGTAAGGGTGGTAGTAAGGATAGGGGTGGATAACAGTGGTGGATAACAGTGGTGGATAACAGTGGTGGATAACAGTGGTGGATAACAGTGGTGGGTAAGTTACTATTTGACGTGAGTGTATGTAGTTCAAAGCATCAAACAGTTGGTACATTATTAGTTTGACAACAGGCATGGGAATTCGTCGTTTAGGGAAATGTTTCCTGGAGAGACTGATATTGTGACTAAACGGTAGCTTACATGAATTTGCGAAGGTCGCATTCCAGATAGTCGAACTCTAGAATCAAGATTGGTGACTCTGAGCACTGGCCGCTGGCTCCGCCCATAAAGGGTTCGTGAAAGACGCTGTTGAGCTTTATGATGTGCGGGTGGTCTAGATTCTTCAGTAACTTGATCTCTCTCAGACTCGTTGCCGGCAGACCATCCGAGCTCCCATTTGTTCGAATCCTTTTCAAAGCCACCAAGTTTCCGGTGGCTCGTTCGGTCGCCTTGCTGACTACCCCGTAGGTTCCTTCTCCCACACATTCTATTATCTTGTAACAGTCCCGATAGCTCACTGGAATCGCTTCGTGAGCCGATCGGCAGCGCTTTTTCTGCCCGATGTTCTCGGCGCGCATGATAACCACACACGTGTGCTCGCCATGCTACCTGACCCTGTCAGCGTCCTTGTAAGTCCAATGACAGGCCTAATACACCCAACCACTGTTTCTAGTTGGCGTCGCTCATCTTCAGCGAGCCGCTGGCAAAAAACTTCGCAGGAGCTGCCAACCACTCTATCAAAGGTAAGCCGTCTGCGCGAAGAACTCCACACACGCAGCCAGTACTCGGCCTGTCATGCGCACTACTAGCTGCCGGACACATCTATCTGCAAGACTACACCATGCCCCTGGTGCTCCTACTTTGTTCGCTGTCCGCAGTAGCAGTCAGCTACATAGAGACGGTAAGCCTCCCCGATCGCGGGCCAGCCACCCTGCTTTGGCCCGCCGGCTTGCCTTGCCTCCCGCGTAGCTACCCAGGCCATCAAGCTCCCAATACGTGCCTACGATGCGTGCTTACAATACTGTCTACAAAAAGCGCACCCACAAATCCATCCTTGCTGCAGTCCCGGAGTGTTGCTATCCTTAACCTTCAACTGTTGATTAATCTGATAAACGCCGTTGGAGCTCTGTTCATTGACCTGGTAGAGTGTAACGGCCGTTGTTGGGAATTGGACGCCAGGGACACGTCAGTAGTGGCGTTGTTGTTCGGAGATATCTTCGTCTCGCTGTGGGGCATGTGGGGAAGCATGCTAATTTTGTACCGGTATTCAAGTCCCGTGACGGCGGACGTAGTGATTACCCCGGATATAAATTACTTCTGACTTGTACTACTCCGTCATTGACATACTACTCCAGCATACTAAGAGATAACTTCCTCGCTAATTCCGTTCGTACTCCGCCGCTGAGATACGACAGTGAAGTTTATCGTTGATGTTCATGGTACAGGTTGAGGTTCATGGTACAGCATTGAGGTGCACTTTGCACACGCACCATGATGCAATTTTTGGTCTTAGCCACACTGTGCTGCGTCTCCGCGGCTCCGGTGGCCTTCCAGCCAGTCACTACACCCATTAGCCATGACATGAATCCGAGTGCAGCCCAGGCACTCGCACTGGCGGCCCAGAATGCTGCGGAACAAGCCCAGCAGTACGCGCAAAAGCTTTACCTGGCAGCTCAGCAAATGAAGATCGACGCGGACCTCCTGACAACGGAGCCGAGCAACGAAGAAGTCTCAGTGGCAGCCGACGATGACTACTCTGAAGATTCGTCCCTGGTGCAGCTGACACCACAACTCAGCCTTCATGAAGTCATCCCCCAAGAAGTTATCCCTCATCAAATCAACCCTCATGAAGTGAATCCCGAGGACGAAAGACAAGGATCGTACACCGAACTCTCTGCTCCGACATTCCCGCCGCTTGTAATTTACACGCGGGACTCCGAAGACGTGTCTACAAATGTCGCGCTGGGCAAAGAGCCTCCTCTACCTCTACCCGTACCGGCCCCGATGCCTACTCCTCTACCTCTACCCGTACCGGCCCCGATGCCTACTCTTCAGCCGCTTCCCGTACCGGCCCCGATGCCTACTCTTCAGCCGCTTCCCGTACCGGCCCCGATGCCTACTCTTCAGCCGCTTCCCGTACCGGCCCCGATGCCTACTCTTCAGCCGCTTCCCGTACCGGCCCCGATGCCTACTCTTCAACCGCTTCCCGTACCGGCACCGATGCCTACATCGCAGCCAATGGAAGATGAATCCACTGAGGCTGACATCAATGAAGTCGAGCCAACGATGGCTCAAGTAGTTACGTTGTTCCCTCCTTCAACAACGCCGATGCCAGCGACGTCTTCGCCAGTGCCCTTTCCTACGGTGACTACCACAGCAGTTGCTGAAAGCACCGCTACCGAGAGCACAGCTACTGAAAGCACGGCTGCGGAAAGCACAGATGCTGAAGTAACGGAGTTGAGCGCTGCGACTTCAGTAACAACCACGACGGAGGAGGCGAGTGAGACAACCGCGATAATCAGGCCTGAGT